TTAAGTAAAGCAAGAGTTTTTATTAACTTTGTGTCCTTTTATTATGAACAAATAAACAAGTTAATGAATTCGAAAAAAATACAAAATTATTATAAGTAGTTTTTTGATATATTAATTAGATATATTTTTTATTTACCGACCCCCTATAAAAATGCTATTGTTCTGAAACTTCTAATTCTGAATATAAAACTGATATTTTTGTAATTTATAAAAACCCTTAAACTAACCGTTTTTTACTGTTTTTCTTATTTCTCGTTCTCACGGGAATTACTAGTAACAATCACGAGATTTTTTCCGTTCCAAATAATTAAAAATTTCAAGAAATCATACACCCTTTAATAATATTAAATAACTACTATATCTATTCGTTAATGTTTAATTGGTTACCTATCTTAAATTCGTACCTTTCTATTTTTCAATGTTGAATAATTTCATTGAATTATTTATGAGCAAAATTGCGGAGTCTAGAGGAGTTATAGCTTCTCTGAAGCCAGCCCTTTTGGTCATGGCGATTCGTATTCATTGCTTCGATAGTTTGGATGAAAGAGATAACTTTTCTTCGGGTGATGCGGATGATGATAGCTCTTCAATATATGACCCTCATGCATGCACCCCGGACGATAGAATACTTATATGGATAGCATCCAATGTAAGTTCATTTCAAGGAAGAAATGATAGTTCAAGGGTTATTAAATATACTTAATGACCTTTGAACTATCGTACGAATGTTTTCTAAGAAATATTTTAAAAAGAGACATACAAAACAAGAATTTTTTAACAGATATTTTATTTAATTGCCCTTAATAATTGTCTAGTAAGTAGGTAGGTTGAATCAATCTTATTTTGTGATCTTTTTTACGCCCGTTTAGGTTAAGAAACACGAAAATGCCCTTATAAAAATATTATACGGGCATCGGGCACCTAGCCTCAGCAGTTTGCACCCTCATCTGCGGATCGGGTAGCAATTCACACACAGGAAAGAATGCTGTCTTCCCTTGTTGTTTAATATACAATTTTTTTAAGACGTTTCGTCATTTCCATCTACCTAACCTTTTAATTTAAAATGTCTAAACATTAGAAAATAATTTACTATGGTGAAGGCCCCTTAGATCACCCTTTTTCATTTTGTGTAATCGATGTAGCAATAATTAAAACCGTATTTGTTTAGATTGCAACGAAATATAGCTATACTCTTGCTGTTTCAACGCTATGTAACGAGATCAGACTGAAATATTTTGGACCCATGCTGACTTTTAATGAAGACCCCTTGAAAATGTGTAGCGAAGGGCGGGGCCTTATTTTAAGTAACTTTCATATGAAGGGCATGACGGAAAATGGCACGAAACCTTTGGTTATGGATATCATTATTCATGATACAATTGAGAACGATGAAGGTATCAGTGATACTTGTAGTTGCCCTGAAGAGTGCGCTAGTAGTGAAGAAATTATAGATTTCTATTAATTGGAAAATTCTTGATATTAAAACAGGAGAACTCAATAAATTAGATATTTTTCAAATATCATTTTTTTGTCTTTTTCAAATATTTGTGGAAGGCAACACAAATATTCGTGCTAATTTTCTTGGCTAAAAATAAATTAGCCTAAAAGGTATCTAAAATAAAAAAAAAGAAATTACAAATCACTTAACTATAGTTCTAGAGTAGGGAGGTTTATAACGTAATCTTCTGGAGCTGAGACAGGTGATGATGGGATTCTAGAATTGTCCACCAAAAGAGTAAAACTTACTACATGGCTTACTTTCGATATAAAGAGGGTTGTCGTTTAGTCGAAGTTTTCAATTGAAAATCACTAATTTTTTGACATGTTCCATGTGTTTAATGTCAATACTCGGTCGTCGTAGGGTTATAAATAGGTCTAGGTACGGGCTCCAGCGGAATCATTATGTTAAATTGGAAGGGTTTCCCTACTTGACCTGTGTGATGAGCTATGCATCATGGTTTAGATTCGTTATGGTAGAATCCTAGTTGTAGAATGCGTAATATTGATAACGGTACCTGTCCGTTCAAATTTGGACGGGTTCAACTAGTACTTATTTATCACGTATTTTGTAACGAAAATTAAAATAAGAGAAATCCTTTTCTTGAGTTGGCTTTCGATATAAAATTGTTTTGTTGGTAGGTATTAACATTACAAAATTAGAGAATATCGATATCATGGTTTTTAGTATTTATGCTTGGTTTTCTCCTTCAAAAACAAAGAGCCAACCGAGTATTTCTTCATTACCATTCCATTATCGTAAGGTCTAATTCTAATAATGCAGTTATTATACGTGTCGTCATATAATTACAACACTAAATAATGTTGCACTAGAATCCAACTCTTAGCAAGTAATATTAGCTTCAGATCTTTTTGTGTTGGAAACGAAGCATACTTTCTCATGTACTTCGCAATCAGTTTAACATTAATTTTATTAGTAGTATTTAATGCAGTGAATTCAAGCTCCGTAATGCGCTAATACAAGTTAGTGAATTCCCTAAGACTATAAACCTATTCCTAAAATTTCGAACATAAGGGGTCAATTCAAGTTTTACGTAAGCAACAAAGGGGAAGGTCTTTGCTTTGCTAAATGTAGATGGCATTGGGGGCGGAGGGTTNCTATTCCTAAAATTTCGAACATAAGGGGTCAATTCAAGTTTTACGTAAGCAACAAAGGGGAAGGTCTTTGCTTTGCTAAATGTAGATGGCATTGGGGGCGGAGGGTTCTTGATAATGATTACCTCACCAATGTTTATTTATTTACTTTTTCTGATTTTTCTGCGAAATTTAGTAGATTCTGATTTGAACAGATGTAGTAACCCTAATCGTTTGAAAGCGAAAAGCAATTTCGGGGATTCCCTAAAACAATTGATATTTCTCGCTCGCTCTCACGCGAAGTTTTATGGTTAAGTTACAAAGAACTCAACTTTTACTAGCATCAAATTCGCATTTTCTAGTTCATTCGTTATTTAAGAGATACCCTATATTCTATAGAAAGAGAAGGAAAATAAAATATTAATTTTTCCCTTTTTCGTCAGTTTGATGTACCTCAATTCAAAGAACCTCTAAACGAAAGGAAGCAAGAATGATAATTAAATTATTTATTACTACCTACATAGTTTACAAAATACAGGTAGAAGATAGGTAAAGTATTACAAATGTTGTACATTGTTCTGTATGTACAAGTCTAAAAGGTTTTCTTTTCTAGTCACCCAAAAAAATTCTAACATTTTTGAGCGACTCGTTTTCCTTCAGTTTGTATGTTAACTCNTGATATTTCTCGCTCGCTCTCACGCGATGTTTTATGGTTAAGTTACAAAGAACTCAACTTTTACTAGCATCAAATTCGCATTTTCTAGTTCATTCGTTATTAAAGAGATACCCTATATTCTACAGAAAGAGAAGGAAAATAAAATATTAATTTTTCCCTTTTTCGTCGGTTGGATGTACCTCAATTTAAACAACCTCTAAATGTCTAAATGAAATGAAACAAGAATGATAATTAAATTACTTATTACTACCTACATCAGTCAAATTCAATTAGGTTCTGTCGGTAATTCAGAAATCTTAAAGAAAAATAACACTAAAAATTATTGATTTAAAATTGAAAAAAAATCCTTGCTATGTACTAAAATTACTTCTGATATTTTGGATATAATACTGGAAACCGTTGAGTTGTTGAATCTACTATATGATTGCTCTGCAAACTCTCTTCATTGTTGATGTTATCTACAGGACGTTGATGATTTTCAAACGGACTTTGCGCATTAAATAATTTTTTAGTTTCGATGGCAGCCAACATTTGAGGAGAAAGGACCAGTTCGTTCTCTTTTGTATTTTCGGCTGGTGGAAACATCTGACGCTTTTTTAATCTGTCGCTATCTTCTATTATTGCACTAAAAAGAGAAAGTATGATATAAAACAAAACAAACATGTGTACATTCGATAATACGAAATTCTAGTATTTTTAAAGAGCTTTTTAATTCGATGCGTAATTGTCTGGATAACAATTAAAACAATTTACTAGTTCTAACAACAGGTTTTGTATGTCTGTCACTTTCATGTAGACTGTCTACTAATATTCATAATGATTTATTAAATAGTCAAATAATCATCATCATAAGTCCTACAACTGGTTGGACACACACCTCCACTCCTTCCTATCCTGAGATAATCTTCGCATTTCCCTGAAACTAGAACAACCCACATCCTTAACCATTTGCGAACAGTAATCTAATCTAGGTCTACCTCTACCCCTCCTAACTCCCGTTTGAGCCTCTAATATGTCTCTGACTGTACCTTCATACTTGAGAAGGTGCCCTACCAACCTATCTCGCCTATTTCTTATTGACTTCCGTACAGTTCTCTGTTCTCCTATTCCTTCTAATATATCTTTATTTCTAACCTTCTCTATCCACGGTATCCTCAAACATACATCTTTAACAACCCTTTTCGAATTTTTAAATTAACCGTTCTCAAGCATAGAAGTGACTTCTTTTTATTGAAGGCGTCTCAACCCTGCGCTATCCTCTGCTTTATATCCCTACTACTCCCTCTGTCCTGACTTATCTGACCTCCTGGATACCTAAAATCGGCCACTTCTTCTAATTTTTCGTCTTCTATCTTTATATTCGTTCTTCCCCTCTTTTTCTTCCCTTGCATACCAGTATTTTTGTTTTACTTTTATTTATTTTCATACAGTACCTACTGTTTTGTCAGGACGCATCCATTTTATTTAAAGCTATCTCTATCTTCTCCTTTCTAGTTATTAATACTGTTATATCATCTGTAAATCTAAGCATACTAATCTTTTTCCCCTGCATATCTATCCCTACAGTTGTACTGTCTTTAATGATGTTGATCGCGTCTTCGATGTATATAGATTAAATAGTAGCGGTGACAGTGTGCATCCCTGTCTGACTCCCTTCCTAATATTTACTTCTCTACGTTGCATCCCAAGCCCTATAACTGCTTGTTGCTCTTTATACAAACTAGGTATCACTCTTCTATCTTTGTAACTCATCCCTACATTTTTAAGTATATTTAACATCTTGTCCCATTTAACATTGTCAAAAGCTTTCTCTAAATCTACAAATCCTATGTACGC